GGAGCACAGGCTCCGGACGCGCAGGCTCAGCGGCCATGGCTCACGGGCCCAGCCGCTCCGCGGCATGTGGGATCTTCCCGGACCGGGGCACGAACCCGCGTCCCCTGCATCGGCAGGCGGACTCTCAACCACTGCGCCACCAGGGAAGCCCCTGCTGGTGGTATTTTTAAGAGCTTGTGGTATTGACAGAAGCCATCGTTTCTCAGGATATTTGTGTAGTTCAGCTTTTGTGGCCCATTTTTGGTTTAGCACAGATAACACTGTGTAAAGTCTTAAAAGTTCTTACCATGAACTTCTTTTTTTCTTTTTAGTTTTTATTTATTTATTTAATTTTTGGCTGCATTGGGTCTTTGTTGCTGTGCACGGGCTTTAGTTGCGGCGATCCGGGGCTACGCTTCGTTGTGGTGCGCGGGTTTGCTCATTGCAGTGCCTTTTCTTGCTGCAGAGCACTGGCTCTAGGCTTGTGGGCTTCGGTAGTTGTGGCATGTGGGCTCAGTAGTCGTGGCTCGTGGAGCCTAGAGCGCAGGCTCAGTAGTTGTGGCGCATCGGCTTAGTTGCTCTGCGGCATGTGGGATCTTCCCTGACCAGGGATCGAACCTGTGTCCCCTGCATTGGCAGGCAGATTCTTAACCACTGTGCCACTAGGGAAGTCCTTACCATGGACTCTTAACTCATCACCCTTCCTCAGCGGAAGCTCGTAAATTGATTTGCCCGTCCCGGCCTTGGGTTTAAAGTAGCTGAGTGTGATGGGGAAAGACCGAGGCTGGTGTGCACACTCCACCCCCTGAGGCTACGTGCATCCTTCTCTTGGGATATCGAAAAGCCCTGCGGTAAACACATGACTACTTTTGTGATGACAAGTACGAAGGCTCTCCTGTGGTTTTTAAACAGCTTTATTGAGGTATAACATACATACCATAAAATTCAGCCATGTTAACTGTAGTATTCAATGATTTTTTTAGGTAAACGTACAAAGTTGTGGAACCATCCCCACAATCCAGTATTAGACCACCACCCCAGATGATTCTCCTGAGCCCATTGCAGCTGTCCATCTGACTTTTAGAGTTTAATAATAGGGTGTTATAACAGTGTCTCCTAAGGTAGAGTATTTGGAACTCCCGGCTCAGATCACTAGGGCCAGAGTCAGAATCTCTAGGAGTGGTGCGTGGACCTACAGTTTTAACAGGTGAACCAGGTGATTCCAAAGTAAAACAGAGTTTGAGAATAGCTACCGCACATCTGAGGTTCGTCCTTATTTTTCAGAATGTCAGTGTCTAAATTTGTGGACTCCAAAACAGAGTTTGCAAGGAGACCCATTGAGGTGCAGGAGGAAAAGATTAGAATGTCTATTCACATTTCATTTTCATCTTCGAAATTAAAGCAAAATTTAAACTTTACTAATAGCTTTAAGATTGACCCTGGGACCCCCACTCCATATATCAGATGAACTTTTATCAGGCACAGTCCTTGAGGTGTCCTGCGAAAGGAGTTGGAATTCTACGATTGTTTATTTTCAGAACATTGAAATTCAGATTGTCTTTTATGAGTGTCCAGGTGACTGGTTTTAGGGATGTTATTTAACTAAAGTAATCTCGTAAAGAGGAAAGAGGGCAGGTGGCTTTACAAGATTCCTGCAGGGAAACTCCAGATGATCAATACAAGCCCAAGTAAACCACAAGGAAATGGCCAACACATTATGCGATAAACCCATGACAGGCTAAGGAGATGTGATGATTTTTCCTCTGGCTTATTCAC